CCGTTGTATCACTCCGGTCGGGCCGACCCATTGGTGCCGAAGCATGGCTCTCCCACACATTAATTTGCCGTTTCTTGAAAATATTTTTCATTCCTTATTAATGTTACTGCGGTAGCTTTAGCCGGCGTAGTTGTACCGTAGGCTTGGTATTTTAGTCGTAGGGTGATGTTCAATGAGTCACCGCCGCCACGGACTAATGCAGGAGAAGGAACGGGGGGTTTTAGTCAGTAAGAGTCTGACAATCTCTCTCGCCTTACTTTGCAAAAGTGATAGAGAACTCATTTGATAATTTCCCCTGACAAAAAAGGGTGATGTTTTATGGTTATTATAATAGTAACGTTGGTTGTATCTCCTTGATTTCAGAGCAACCTCTTAACAGCCTCCGCCAGTATTGGGATACTTGGTGTCAACATATCGAGCAAAGTCCAGATCCGAGGTCGTCTAGAGGGCATCGCATGCTACTTTATAAGGCGCAGATACGTTGACGGTCTTAATGTCTCAATCCGGCTAGACTCTGGCACTGTCTATGAGGAACTTTTCGGTTCGATACCCGCCGCATCCTTTCGCCTTCGACCCACTCGAAAACATTATCAGCCCGTCATATAGCAAGTTAGCAGTCAACAACCGTGCGATGCTGTATGGCATACGTTTAGTGAATAAGTGGAATGGCAACTTACTGTAAAGGAGGCGGTGTAGGCAGTGGCTTATCGAACCCGTCCTTGCCCAGCAGCCAGTAGGTGTGCATGGCGCCCTTCCCCTTGATCATGGTGAGGCCGCGCGACCGCAGACGGTACCCTCCCGCCGCCGTCAGGCGCTCCGCAGTCGTGGCCGACACCTGGATGCGCCACGCCGCGCCTGCGCACAACGCCATACGTCACGGTCAGTCCCCGCGCGGTCCCCGGCGCCCCGACCGCGTAGTAGCGTCTGACCGGTGGACTCCATGCGCGAGGCCGTGTTGACGGTGTCGCCGAAGAGGCAGTAGCGCGGCATGGTGAGCCCCACGACGGCGGCGCAGCAGGGCCCGGTGTGCAGGCCGATGCGCAGGTGCAGCGGCGTGTCGGGCAGGTGGCGCAGGCGGAAGCGGCCGGCCAGGTGCAGCAGGTGCAGCGCCATCGTGGCCACGGCCTCCGCGTGGTCGCGCGTGCGCACCGGCAGCCCGCCCACCACCATGTACGCGTCGCCGATGGTCTCCACCTGCACTCATCACTCCGTACTACGACTACACAACAACAACTTGCTCCTTCTTATGTAACGTTTATTAGTAACTGCGGCAGTCTGTTCGAGTCTAGATGAGATGCCTGTGCATTGGTATGTTAATTGATGCACCCGACATGAGAGGAAACTGGCCGGTTCAAACAATTATAGAATGCGACCCTAGACCGAAAAGGATGGGAATTCTAAAAAGGTGGACCTAGAAAGCAGCATTAGCATGAGATGTAATAATTTCAATCGTTTGATTTTTATTAATGATTGTGTGTGAGAGCTAGGAGTACCTTATAGACGCGGTACTGCTCGATGGCGGCGTCGAATGTAGTGTAGAGGTCGTTGAGCAAGTCGACGACCTGCACGGGCGTGGAGCGCGCCGCCAATGCCGTGAAGCCCACAATGTCGCTGAAGTAGATGGACACCTCGGAGAACTCCTCGGGCTCCACCCGCGACCCCAGCAACAGGCGCTCCGCCACCGACCTGTCCGCCGAGCCACACATCACTAGGTCGCCGCGACATCGCGCCGCGACGTCGCCCCCTTACTTACCTTGGCAGCATCCTATTTAGTAGTTGCTCGGTCTTCTTTTTCTCCATATCGAGTTGCTCGGTCCGTTCCTTAATTAGTTCTTCTAGATTGTTGCTGTACTTTTCCAACATTTCAAACATGGAGTCAACTATGTTAATCTTTCTGAAAACGATTACAAAATTTAAACTACTCTTACCTATGCAGATATTACCTATGGAATCTGTGCTACATTCCAGAAACTGGAGTCAAAGAATACCTGCCGCGGTGCAGATGCCGAAAGATGTCGTGCAGGCGGTGAAAATCGGGGCGCAAGTCAGGCGCCTCGCTCCAGCACTGGCGCATGACGCTGACTGCGTCCGGCGGGGCCGCGCCCATCGACACTGACGGCCTGATTAGCGGCGGAGGCCGGGACACCTTCTCCACGATCTCTGCAACAGTTTTAGTACTGACAGCGAACGCCGCTCCGCGTGTTCCCAAGTTACGGGCTGTGTGCTACCTTCGGGCGTCAGGGCCAACATGCAGTAGGGTTCCCCGCGCACGATGACCTCTTGCATGATAATGGCAAATGCGAAGACATCGCCGGGCTGGGAGCCGCGACCCGCGCCGTTATTCTCACGCAAGAGCTCCGGGGCCGTCCACAGAAGATCTGAACACAATATTGCACCCTATCACGTATCCTAAAATCTTAAAATTTGGTGCAAAGTTTTACATCATAAACAAAGGAATAATTACGAAAAGCGTTTATTCTCTGTCTGAATATTGTATAAGGTAAACAACCCAAGAATAAAATATAATCGTTTTGAGTGTACGAACGCACCTCGTGCGGAACGGTGCGGCTGCGGTAAGCCCTGTGCGTGGAAGAAGGCGGGCAGGCCATAGTCCGTGACGCGCAGGACCCAGCGAGAGTCCACCACGCAGTTCCGCGACGTGAGGCGGCCGTGTAGGCGAAGCGGGGACGCGTGCAAATAGCGCATGCCCTTCACCAGGTCTGTGAGCAGCGACAGGCGGAAGGTCCAGTCCAGCTTAATGTCGTCCGCCACCAGCACGTCCTCCAGCGAGCCGCGCCCGCACTGGTCAAATACCAGAGCCGGTCGCAGCTCACACAGGCACCCTGCAAACGCATGCGTTGTGATCACTTCGCTGTACATACTTTAGTAAATAATAATATCTGAAGAAGTGCCTCATGTTAAATAGCTTACCAATAAAAGGGTTTAGGTTTTCATGACGCAGATTCTGCATCACGAGTAACACATCCGTCGCCTTTCGTTTGAGTTCCAGACCCGCAGTCGCCGGCAAGTACTTGACGTGCACCACGTCCCCCTGAGAAGCGCAGCACAGGGTATGGCTGGCAGATAGAAACAGCGACAAAGTACAAGATTGGTGAAGCGGAGCTGTACCTAAAGTACCTTATATCGAATGCGACGGTCGACGGCGACGCGGTTGACGCTGCACGTAGAGGAAGGCGCGGAAGGAGCTCGCGGCGGGACGCAAGGCGGCTGCTTCAGTAGGTCTGGCCGCTCCAGCTCGGGCCCGCCGAACTCGTGCAGCTGCTGCAGCCAGCATGAAAGCATGGTCTCCATGCCCTCGCCCACGCGGCGCCGCTCGTCCACCGGAAAGCTAAAGTCGGTGGGAGTCAGTACGGCATCTCGGCGGCGGCGCCGGCGACGGCGGCGCGTAGCTACCCAGCGCAATAGCAGCGCTATAGTGGCGGCCAGAGCCAGGGCACCGCAGGCCGCTACGGCCGAAAGCGCCGCGGCACCGGTGGACTCGCGGCCCGACCCCGCAGTCGCCGCAGTACCCTCAGCTCCCGCCGAGCTCCAGCTGTCCAGAGCCACCGACACGTTCAGCAGCTTTACAGATATTGCTTGTTCGTACGACAGCTCTAGGGAGCGAGACATTGTAGTGGCCAGCACTGCTGCACGACTCCAATATGGAGATGTTCTGTTCTGCTTTTCATATAAATGAAAATTTATATGAATGTTTTCTTTTTTTGCGTGCCTGGCTTTCGATTCGACTTGTACAGTTTGGAGTATTTCATCGTAAATAATTGTTTCATTTAAATATGAATGATTCATAAACTGTTCATCAGTAAGCAGCCACAAGCGTCGAAAGAATAAAATTTCGATTTGAGGTAAATAAAATTGAACCCGATTTGAGCTAAAATCCGGCCGCCCCGTTCGCTCCGGTTCGGGCTCTCCTGTGGACTCGCGCCGCCACCTTTCCAACTCGATCTCACTAACTGCGTGTTTCAGTGCCTGTTGTTCGGTTAAAGTCTTTTCTTCATTATGTTTCGCTTTGAGCTGGACGGAATCAGTTTTGATTTTACTATGACTTGTGTGTTTTGCATCTGTTTGCTGATTGAGGAATCTTGTTTCTGTGGGTATTTTCTCCAGCCTGTTTGATGAAATATTTGTTCTGAGATCGTTCTTCATTAACTTTTCAAACTGCGATTGTCTTTTACTTCTCGTTTTTAAGTATTCGCTTAAAACTAAGGTGATATTGCTTAATCGGGTCGCATTATTAACGTCACTCAGTGGAGCGCGTGACGTCTCGGAGACAGTCAGCGGCGTGCTGTCGCACTCCTCGACGTGCACCAGCAGTGCCGGAGGGCCAGCTCCCTCTGCTCCGAGAGTTGCTGCAGACGCCGCCAGAATCCCAGCACCACGACCGGTACATAGGATTACAACTAAAAGAGATATATAGATGGGTTAAGTTATAGGAACTTCCAGTAGGTTACGATGCTATTTACGAGATTTAAGACAAAGAAGGGGAAAGAAAACCGTTTATTTTACACGCTAATTAAAGAGACAAGCACATAGTAGTTAATACAATAGAACATATTACATACATAGTGATGTGGGTGCATGTTCTATAAGTCCTCTCTGAAATGAGCCCAGTATGTCCTACCCGTACATGTGCGAGACGTTGACGTTGGCATTCTATTGGCCCCCAATAGTACACCAACCAGTTGCGTCGGAATGTGTGTGATTTAAAAAGCTTTTCATTGAGTTGAGCACGAGGTACTGTTGCTGAACTCAGATTATTACTTAATTCGTGGCTAGCTCTAGTTTTGTTTGTCTTTCTAGTAAACTTACAGTGTGCTAGCATGTCTGTTGGCGTACCGCAGGGCTCAATATTAGCGACAATGACTGCTGGACACATGTCGTACATATATGAAGGAGTCTGTATTGAACAGTGTTTTTGTTTTAGTACTTACCTACTTACTAGATATTTCTAATTTCTTAGCATTTAGGTATTTGAGGTGAACCTAACCATTTGGTTGGCGCTCCAATTCGTCTTGTAGTAGATTGACGCGGCGCACAGCAACGCCGGCGACAGCGAGCGCGCGAGCCACCTCCACCAGTGCGGCCTCGCAGTCGGACGCGGGCGCCGCCGGCGGGACCAGCGCCAGCCGCCAGCCCAGGCGCGCCGCCAGCCGCGCCACGGCCGCGCCGCGCGCCTCCGCCCCCGCGCAGCCCGCCCCCACCGGCCGCTGCAGCGCTCGCGCCGCCGCACCCAGCGCGCCGCATACTTGAGCGCCCAGGCAGCCCGACCCTGCCACTGAGCCGCCCTCGCTCAGCGCCGCGAGAGCTTGCTTGGTCATCGACACTTTCCATTGGGGCCCGCAGGTATCTGACCGAGAACACTTGAATGAATATATGACTGGGTGGCAACGACAGGATTCTGGATGAACTCCTCCTACTCCTACACCACACCTCACCTTCATAGGTTACGAGGCGCACTCGGTGCTGAGTGAACAGGAAGCGAGCTGGCTCATACGCTAACAATCGAGTCTCGTTGAAGGCGGCGAGGAGCGGCGTGTGGCAGGCGGCTCGCAGCAATAGCGCGAGCGGTGGTAGGGGCGCGGGGGGCGCAGCCGCGGTGGTGGAGAGGGCGGCCAGTAGCGGCAAGAGCGCTCGCATGGCGCGCCCTCACGTGACGTCCGCCATGCGGCCGCCGCCGAGCGCTCGTCCGCTCCGCTGGCTCGCTCGGCTGGCTGCACAGGATCAAACGACACCTCGCTAGTCGCCCCGTATCTGATACCTTTATAAAATTGATCGATAACATCTTACTCTCACACAACATACAACAATGTATCAATAAGTAGATACCTACCAATGTTATGGAAATGTCATAAATTGTACTTATGACATTTCTTTAGCATTTTTATGCGCTAATCGTGTAATCAGTGCAAATTGGGCGTAGGTAGATGATCTAAAAAAAACTTCAAACTATGCTTGTTGCATGTGCTGTTAGTGTTCGGAAACTTGCATGGTCTTTCATGTAACGGAGATATGTTACTGGAAGTCATAATTGCCACGGATACGGTGCCCCGTGCCCAGCAGTATATATGTTAACGGAAATGTATGTAATCCGTCATTGTATACAATTCCTAGGAAATATATATAATTCCTAAATTTGCTCGGAAATGTGTGAAATAAATTTTATAACACACATTTCCTAGTAAATCTATACATTTCCTAAATAGCTAACGGAAATGTATTACTTTAAAGATGTCCATTCGTATGCGTTTATACGGCGTATTACTGCTTAATTGACAGACTGATTAGTTACCAAATGATAGAGCTTTATAAGTAGTTTTTGTGCTAGATGGGCCTTAAAATTTAGTAAATAGTTTTGTTTTTGTAGCTTAGTTAGTAAGCCGGAAGAAGATATTATATTTTACGATGTGATTGTTACCTAATTGTTTCAACCGGAGTCTTAATAATAAATCTGTTTCTAAGTTTAACAACGTGTTTAATTAATTTTATTCATAGAAAGCATGGTTTTATACATTTCCTAATACGATATAGGAATTTTATACAATTTCTAGGAAATGTATACATTTCCCAGGATATGTGTGTATTAAATAATGTTTGGAACAATATTTTACACATTTCCTATATAGCTTCGGAATTGCATACATTTCCTAGTATATATACAAAATATGTAACTCACGGTGAAAAGTTGATTGGCTACTTTACCCAGCTCAAATGTTTATTTCATAGATATATTATATTCTCAATAAAACCGTTACAGTGTCACTTGCTTGAGAACAATACTAGGCAAGAGAAATGTCCGACTGTTCATCAACATCATCATCGTAGTGATGAACTGTCGGACATTTAGTTACAGACTACACGTGTAAACAAACAAATTCACCCATATAATGCAATTTCTCATATGTGATTTATTACAGAGGAGACACACATATATACATATACTGGCTAAGTTGGATTGAATGCACTAAAACAGTTTACTCATACATGACGCTATTTTATTGTAAAGTTGTGCTCGTTCAAAAGTCAGTTTTAGTGACTTAAATAGTTGGTTCTAATTATCGGCAAGACTAGTGAGTTAGCCTCGACTAAGGCCGAACGCGAGGGACTATCACGCCGATTTCTCCTGAGGTCCCTGAGGACACGATTGTGCTCAGCCTAAGCAAGGCACACCGCCACTTATGCTCTCGTACTTATGCTCCACCGAACCCTCCTGGTGGTCCTAACAATGACGAACCCCGGGTGTTTCCTCCCGCTGGATCCAAAATATATCCCTATTATGTTCGGTTACACTGTTTTTGTTTTACTTGGCACCGACTTCAAGATTATAAAATGGTTATTAATATTATTTTCTATTTAACTAAATCAAAACATGTATTAATTTCTACAAAAAACATTTATTTTTTGCTTTTTAGTTCACTTTTTGAAGTCGGAATATTTTTGTTAAAAATTATTTATTTCACCATTTTAAGTGTAGTAGGCAGAGCAAGCAAGTATAATAGTTTTCGAATGAGAAGACGACGGCTACTTGAGACCGAAAATCACGGTGATACTAGTAGTCCTGAGTTAGTCAGTGTTCAGTTAGTTTAGCTGTAAATCTTTGAGGAATTCCCTCGACTGTCAATGGTCTCCATCTCCATGCAGACCTTCAATATACTTATATAATCCATATATAGGTGCAAAGTTCTCATCAATATAAATGAATTAAGTCAAAGCACAACATAATTACTAGAAATAGTCTAAGAGATGCCACGACAGTCTTCCTGCTCCATCATCAGATTTACTCCATAACTTCATTGTAACCCATATAGGTGCGAAGTTTTCATCGATATAAATGAATTAAGTCCAAACACGAGGTAGTTACTGTGAACCGTTCAGGAATTCCCTGAGCTGTCCATCTTTCTCATCATCAGACCCCTAATGACAGTCACGATCAATCTTGGTGCATAGTGCTCACCAATACGAATCATTCAAGCCCAAATACAAGATAACTATTCCAAATAATCAAGGCGATCCCTCGACTGTCTTCCGTCTTCATCATCAGGTCGAGTTCGAACATCGGCAAGTTGTAGCTTTGTAAGAAGCCTACTAAAAAGACATACAAAAGCAGTACTTGCCCCTACAATTTTCGAAAGTTCCCCTCGGTTTCCCTAGGATTCCATCATCAGATCCTGACCTCATAAAAATGGGACCCTCTCGACACCTTTGAAACAAAACAAGAATTTTGGAAATCGGTTCATAAACGGCGGAGTAATCGGTGAACATACAAAATGAAAAAAAAATCTGCCTGAGTTACGTTTGTCATATCTTCTATACAACAACTGCTAGGTATATCAATGTGTGAGTTTGTTAACTCTAGGTAGCTTATTGACACTAATTAAATAGCCAGCTACTTTTAATAAAATCCTTGCCCCTAGCTTCATTTTCTCCTGTGTCTTGGTTGGGTATACAAATATTTAAAATGGTTTGGGCTAAACCCGAAACAATATGTGGATCACAAAGTGTTGTAAGTACCTTGCGGGAATCGAACCCGCGACACGGTGCACAGTAGCTACTGCGCCAACCATGCAGATATGGCTTAGCCCGGACGCGAATGGGCCGTCGCTGATCATTTCAGCGCTCAGCCCAAGCACCGCCGCGCACAGCTTGCCTCCACCGTGTCATTATTTACTTGCGCTAGGTCGGGGAATCCCATACACGTATGCTATGCTGCACGTTATGCTATTATCCATCAATTAAGGAATATCCGATGTGTATTTATGTAAGTCGACTAAACCGTTGAACTCAATATTTATCAATTACTTACCTATGTTTAGAATAATACGGTTGACCCTGCTAATGTATTGTTGTATATTACACAACTACAAAAAGTATTAAACTCTGTAAAGTTTAGTCATCATCATCATCAGCCTATAAGAGCTAAGTGCTGCGCAAAGGCCTCTTCTCTCACAGATGTTTGAGTATTAATCACCACGCTTGGTCAAGACGGATTGGCGATTTCAAACTTATAATTTGGAATATTAGCCCATGTTTCCTCACGATGTTGCCTTCACCGTATGTCAGTAGTGTCTAAATAATCACAGAAAGTACATAATTATAACTCGGAAGAAGTAACATTGGTACTTGCTGGGAGCCATACTTTCATGCATGGGAAGCGGGCGCAGTTACCTCCGGGCCACCACGACTTGCAAGTTTAGACGTTTAGTATATAGTATGGAATAGTAAATAACAATACAAAAAATAGCAACACCAGAACTTACAGCACTGGCACTTGATTTAGATTGCTTCACAGACGACAATTGTATGGTACACTTGATAATGCAGGTATAATGAACAAATCACAGAGTGAAGTGCACATCATATCATTTCCGTGTAGTGCGTGTCGCGCGTAGAAGAGCTGACGAGAACGCGGCACGGCGGACAGCGCGCGACCGACGCGCGCCGCGCGCTGCAAGACTCGCGGCCAGAGAGCGGCCAGCTCGTGCCGCGCATGCGCCGCCGCGCCAGACGGGACGGCTCCCGGGCCAGGCTCCGGCTGCCCACCACTACTCCAAGCGTAACGATCGCCAGCTCGCGCCCGCCGCCGGCTCGGCTAGCGGGCTCGGGTGCCAAACTGCCGCCGCCGGCTGTTTTAATGATTTATTATCTTAATTATGCAACTTGGATAAGCAAGTAATGCATCATAATTGCTCTAGCTAACAGTGGAGGAATCGGCAGGTGTTAGGTTGTAGACTGGCTCCGTGGTTTACTCATCTTCGTTATCATCGACTGCAACTGCCGAGTAAAGGGTCCCATTCTAGTTTTAATGAAAAATTACGAGGGTGCTGAGGCAATCCTCGTAAAGAGTGAGGCACAGGTACAAGGTTTATTTCAAAGTTCCTGACTTACTCTCGTTATTTAATTCCAGCTTTTATTTGGTATGAATTTTGTAACTGTCCTTATGATTTTTCTTATATTTGTTAAAATTCTTTAGGTTTAATTTGTAGTTTAAATTACGCCCCTCAACAACAACACTCAACAGCCCATTCAGACTTTCTATCAAACATTAATCAGCAGTCATCCTCAGCAGCTATCTCTCGCTCGTCGCTTACATCACGCACTTGTGAACAAACCTAGAATACCTAGAAGGTATAAGATGTACTACACCTCTTATTCTACCTCAGTTCAGTTAAATCAAAACGATAGAATGGTGGCCTATATAAGTAATAAACATATGCCTCTTGTTACTGAAGTAACTGTAACACATGCGTCCGCTCTCCAAATCATTATATCTAACTTCAACTGTTCTCCGGCTAATGTCTGTGCTGATAATTTCATCAACTCTTTGAATGACCACCTTGTATCTTAGTAAGTCCTCAGTTTGTACGCCGCGCCGGCGCCGACTAAATTACCAGCAGGGAAATCTGCTACGTGCTACGAGAAATGCGCTACGCGTTACGAGTCACGCGCTTCGTGCTACGATCTACGCACAATGACCTACGTGCTACGCGATAATTATGGTCTCGTCAAGGCAAAATTTTACATTTTATTTTTTGTGATTGGATTTCCTCCAAAAGGATGAGGTATCTCAATTCGACCGTATATATGGTTGTTTATGTTGTTTCGCGGATAAATTTAGCGGAAAGTAGGTGGCATCACTATGA